CATTAGGACTATGGCCTTGCAGCCTAAAAACTGCACACCAACATCAATATAGAGGGTACTGTAGCCATATGTATGCTGTTCAGAGGAATCCTACCTTTCTTTATCTATCTATCTCCTCTCCCTCCTTCTTCTCCTCCTTTCCCTTACCCTCTTTTCTGCTGGCTAAACACCTCATGTACGGCTGAAGTCTTTATTGTATTTGTGCATGTGTGTGCATGTGTGTTTGTACATACAGCACATACATAAGTGATAAGACAATAAACAATAATATTTCTACACTTATTAGTGTTTTACAAGTTTATATCAATTAATTTAAATTTTAAAAATATTATTTTCAAACATTTTTATTATATTTATTAAATATCATCAAGAATGATTTGTTAATAATAAAGAATATAGAGTAGATACTCTATATTCTTTATTATTCTATATTCTTATTAACAAAATCTTATAATTTTTATTTGTAGTGATTTACTTAGAATTAAAATCAAGTATATAATTTTTGTATCTGACTTTTAAATATAACATAAGATCACACCTACAAAACTTGTTTTGAGATACTTATTATCATTATGAATGATTTAATGATTGAAGAGGTTTGTATTATAATGAAACAGTTTTATTAGGAATGATGATGATGATACAATATATATAAATTCAGAAATGATGTCATAAGTATACTTGTGTGTTGAAGTAAAATACTATTTATAATTTTAATTGTGCATAAGAACAAGAATATTTTAATTGTGCTATGTGCTGGTTTACCAGCACATCAGCACAATTGAGTTTTGATTTTTGAGTTTTAATTACAACTAAAAAAATATAGTAAATTAAAACATTCTGAATAATATAAAAAATGATTATTTAATTCTGATAAAATTGGAATTTATCCAATAAGTTGTTTTAATATTATCAAAATTTAATTATATTATTATTAAAGTTAAAGTTCACAATACATTGAGATGATATAAATTGAGGAGCTTGAGGGAAAAACAGATATCTGGTAAAACTATAAAAAAGAAGTTTCATTAACAAATTTAGATTTGTATAGCATTAACCCATCTTTTAAGAAACTTTCACAGCTTAGTTGAATGTCCCATGGAATCCATATTACTTAAAGTGTTGATGAATTGAAACACATCCTCCTTTATCCCAAACTTCCTAATGTAATAATATGCTATTTTTTTCACCAAACTCTTCAATTATTAAGATAATTTATATAAGATATTTAGTTTTTTGATCTAACAAAATAGCAATTGCATTTAATTACCATTTTAAAGATAAGAATTTGACAAATAAAATATTTGATATAATTTCCTTAAAATAAATAGAATTTTAATAAAACAAAATAAATTTAAAAAACAAAAGGACAATATGAATTGTTAATACAATACTTCATTTATAAAAAAAAAAATATTATGTAATGTTTTTGTTTTTAATTAATTTCGTAATAATTAGAAATTCAGAATAAATGTGAATTATGAAATTTGTTTTTTTCTTTTGTATTAAATTTTGCAAATAAAACAAAAATTCAAAAGAATTTTCTAACAATAATTATGAATAAAATATTTACAATTAAATCATGTAAATAAATATCAGTTAATGCTAAGTTTTGGCAAGAATGTTAATTATAATTTAAAGGAATATTTAATTTTGATATTGAATGAGAAAAAGTAAGCAAGATAAATTTTATCTGATGCAATTTTTTTTAAAGCAGTGACGTCATTAAAAATGGATGTAGTCATTCATTATTTTTGACATTACTACTAAGGCTTGGTCTTGACACACCGCTTAATTATTGCATTTGATTTGTTTTTTCTTTCCTTAAATTATTTTAAGGAAAGAAAAAAACTGTCATTTTAGTAACTTTGGTATGATAAATTTATCACATCAACTAATTTCCTAATCACAAAATAATAATTATAGTAAACCCTTGATTTAATAGGCAAAAAATTTCTTTCTTATAGGAATATTTAAAACTTCTATTTGTGAATAGAGCATGATAAAAGGTTGGAATAGTGGTCAGAGTCAATGAGTTTAAATTACTCGGTGTACATTATATTACTTTATTCATACTTATGCATCATAACATATTTACACATCTTGCACTTCTAAATTCATTACTAATACACATTTTTAAAACACATTCAATTTAATAAACTTTTGGTAATAGTGAACATTCCTTCCCCAATCAGTCTGTTAAAATTATAAACACGGTAAACACTCGATTTATCATATTTAATTACTAATTATAAAAATTAATAAACTTTATTTTATAATTTAAATTAAAATAAATATAATTAATGATCTTTAATATATAACAAGAAGTTTTAATTAATTATTTTTATTAAATATTTTTTAATTTTATGTGTGTCAGATGAAAGTATAATTTAAATGTAATTATAAAAATGCAAAAAAGTTTTAAATTATTAACAAATAAAAAGGTGATCTAATTTGTGACTCATTCTTGAGATGTAATTGGCCTGCATCATAATTATTTTGTAATTACAATATTTTCATTAGTACTTTTCTGTATTTTATTTGCTACAGTGTACTGAAATGATCTCAATAACAGTGGAATAAAATCTGATAATAGATGATGCAACATGTAGTTTAATAAATTGTGAGTACTGTTTAAGTCATGCAAAAGTCTATATAATCTTGTACCTTAATTTTTCATCCACTTCCCAATTAAATGTTAGACCAAGAAGAATTTCAATAAGTCAGTGTTTCAAATATAAAACTAAAAAATATATAATTAAAAATTATTTTTAATATTTTTTAAGAATTTTTTATTCACATAAATGCATTAAAATGTAAAATATAAATTTTTTCAGCTCTCATAGTATTCTTGTTATTATGCAATCAAAAATAAAAGCATGGGATACTCATACTTTATGGCTGCATATTATAAGGTTTTTGAGTAGTGAAGCTCATACTTTCTATCAATTTTTATGGTTTCTCTGAGTGCCCTGTGCATTTTTGATTGTATAATAACAAGAATACTATGAAAGCTGAAGATTTATTTTTTACTTTTTAATGCATTTATGTGACTAAAAACATTTCTTTAACATCTGAAATATACATATTTAAAAATTATTATTTACAAAAGAAAGAGAAGAAAAAAAAAAACAGAAAAGTTTGCTTGCTACTGAGTTTGAACAGAGCATAGGGACATGTGGCCATAAAATCCATCAATTTCAGCTACAACTCAAATCTTTGCCAAGAGTAAGCTTTGTGACTACATTTTGATAGTATAAATTGTAGTCAAAGCATCCCTTGAAATACAGTACTTAGTTGCAATTATTGCTGCTTTTCTATGATTGGCTATGAATTTGGCTTGCATCTTATTGGTTGAAGAAAGTCAGGCATTAGAAACTATTGATAAACTATTTCTATTAAAGTATGTCAAAAATGTTTTATTTATATCTAATACAGGCAGGTACTGTATGTGCTATTGTATTAATGAAATACTGTACCTCCAATAAAAAATATTACTATTTACTGTATGCTTTTAATTGAAGACTGTTTTCAACTTTTCAATCCTTAGTTTAAGCATTTCTAATTAAATTAATTTTTGTAATCTTACATTTAGCACTTTACTTTATCATGATGGTGCCAAATATTATAAGCTTCGCTGATAATAATGGTAATAAACCTTGTTGAAAAATGATTAACATTATCTTCTATAATTGTTTTCTGGTTATGCTGTAATGGCTAATATTAAAAACTTCCATAGTTTAACATAAACTTTTTTTATCTTTTAAATGTGTTTTAACACATTTATTTAAAAACACACAAAATAATAATAACAAATAAATGAATAATTATTAAAAATTGTTTGCCAGTAATTTACAAATACCACTTCTACTATTTAAAGCCAAATTGTCAATAATGAAGTCTTTATTGTTACAAAATTGTTCAGAGCTTCTAGTTTATAAATTTTTAAATGTTGAAAAATATATTTCTTAAAAAGTATAGAATTTCAATCATATTTAGCATGATTAGTTTAGAATGTATGATTACTTTTTGCAACAAATTTTATCAACATTTTGGTTATGAATATATCATTTTCAAATGCTGAAATAATTAATGTTGAATTTATTATTATTTTGGATATTTTTTGAGGCAATTGTTATATTAAATCATTCAGTATTACAGCCATATTTAGATGCCAAGTTTTGGTATCATGGTGTCCAAGTATTGATTACAGTTCAGTCAAATAACCAGAATTTGCCAGTTGTATTTATACTTTAATTAATGTGAAATCATTTAGTACTTTACAAAAAAATATATATTTCTTGAGAATATACATACAGGATGAGTCAATTTCATTCGGTCTCTTCACTCACTGTTGAGGTAATAACAATTATACGGTGGAGTCAACCTTTTATTGTAGGCTACTCATCCACAATCTAATGCAAAAAAGTTAAAATAGTCCTCTAGCGGTGGCACAATGATAAAATTAAAAAATACATTTTAAAATTGAAGGGACTGAATGAAATTGTTTCATCCTGTTTAGTCTCAAGAAATATATTTTTTTTGTAAAAGTAAATATGTCCCGGCAATTTTTTAAAAAACATTTAGTAATTTGTTTAAACACAGATGATACTGCCATCTTGTAGTAAATTTATAAACAAGTAGAATTAATTTTAATAATTTTGAAATTCTGTTTTGTTTATATATGTATATTATTGTGTTTTTATTATATATAATTATGCTTACATTTTTGCATTTTAGTTCCTTAACTGTTTTTAACATAAAATAGTATCTTTTCTAATTTATTATTATAAATTGTTGATTCAGTCTACTATTAAAATCTTTAATTTTTAAAACTTAACCTATTTACTCCATCACAAAATATAGTAATAATTTGACTTCCAATGGAAAATTTGGTATTGGTGAAGATATTGTAGACTTTTAAAAATTTTTAATTATAAAATTTGTTACTTTAGATTTTTAAGTTTATTAAAGTTAATGATTTAATAAAATACTTTTAGGAAAAATTGACAAGAATGAAATAATGAATGCATTTGAAAGATTAGGTATATTAATTGAGGAACAAGAAGCATTAAAATTATTAAAACGGTAAGAAAAATTTGATTGATAATTAATTAAATATAGATGAATTTAAAACAAAATTATTCAAAATAAATTTAATAGATGCAGATAATTTTATTAATTTAAAAAAATCAACTAAATTGCATGTACTGTATATTATATATCAGCATAACTATTGTAGTACGTATATTATTAAAACCAAAAATAATTATTTTTGTTGGATTTAAAAATTCTTTATATTGAAAAAGTTTGAAATTTAATTTGTATGTTTACTAAGGAAGTGTTTTGTTGCCTGTTTAACAATATAAACATTAAATTTTTTACATTAAGTATTAAAAAAATCCTATATTATCGTAAAAAAATGTTGTTGTATTTTCCAAAAAAGTAGAGTTCATAAGATATTGTAAATTGATTATACAAACTTTTTTAACAGATTTGTTAATGAATAGTAAATAAATAATGGCTTTTTTCAGAGCCATGAAGATTTATGGTTGTGGCTTAATAACAGGATAAAGTACTTTAATATAACATTTTATTTTAATTTTAATAATTCAGCAATTATAAAAAATAACTAATTAAAAAGTTGAAGAAGCAATAGTATATGTGCATAGTAAGTCAAATACTGTTTTATTTTGTTTAAGGGATATGAGGGTCAGGGATCATCATAGAATTTAAAGCAAAAATTTGAGTAGGACTTATATTTAATTTGAATTATTTTAAATAAATTTAATTACATTGATATTTGTTACAATAAGACCATAACAAGAAAGCATCCATTAGTAAAGTAAATTAAATTTATTTGAAATGCAATAATTATATAACCTAGAAACATAAAAGTCAAGCTAAACAGTTTGAACAAATTCTCAAAATTTCCAAGAACAGAATGTCAATCGTCAGAGAAAATTATAAAAAAGAAAAAGAAAATACAGTGGGTGATTGGTTAACAAACATAATCCATTCCAAGACTATGTTCACTATCTGAATTGTTTGTTAACTGATTATTGATTTACCATAGATTTTTGTGGAAATTTGATTAATTCATTTTACAGACCCCAAAAAATAAATAAAAAATTATATACTTTCATACTGTGATTATTTATATGTAATAATAAACTAAAAGGAATTTCTCCATTTTTGCATGGATGGCACATCTTTGTTACTCAGATGCAATTTTCGTTACTTCTTTATCAGATCAAGTCTTTTTGATTATATCATTCTTAGCTAAGAATTTATTTACTGTAGAGCTGTTGAAATCATCTGTTTATAATATCAGACATCTTCTGCCCACTATCTACCTTGGCTATTATCTCTTGCTTAGTTTCTATAGTGAACACAGTTCTTGACACTCCACTCTTTTTAGGCCCCATAATATTATCAGTTTTTTACATAGAAAGTTCAGAAAAAGCACTTAAAAAAATTCAGAGAACCGAAATTAACTAGTGCAGAAAGGGTTATGTATACAACTGTGAAAGTCTCATTCCATAAACCATGCATAGATGCCATTAAAATATAGTTTTACAAATCTTAAATGCAGTGTCACTTGTGTTTGTTCTGTGAGGTGTTCATTATCCGAACATTTGTTTGTTGTCTGAACATAAAAATCTTTCGTGAAAGTCTTTGTTGTCCGATTTATTCTCAGTCTGTTTAACCGATCACCCACAGTACTTCAAGTTACATATTCAAAATGTTTGCTATTTTTAAATACTTTTTAAGTAGCATTTTTAAGTAGTCCTTTTTTAATAAGTATTTTATGAATTTTTAAACTAAAATGCATAATTTACTTTTCTGAAATCTAAATGATTTAACAAAAACAATGATATAATTTAAATTTTAGGGTTTTTTTTAATTTCAATGTTTGAACCCTTTCTGGTATTTGCATAAAATGACACCTATGAAATTATGTTATCTTAATGTAATTTTATATTAATGGAAAATTTTGCAAATATCACAGTGTACAGTACTTAATGCTGTTAACTGTATTTATAAATTTAGTTGCAATCGGGGCTGTGGAGTCGGGAAAAAATGTGTCAACTCCGACTCCCACATTTTAAATTTACTTCAGTTTTTTTTATTTAAATGAAAGAAAATTTATTATATATTTATTAATTTTTTAAAAATCTTTTTGTATTTTGTTATAGTTCATTCATTTTAAATACAAAATGCATCAATGTATTATCAATGAAACATGATAATACATTCTCCCAAAAAAGTCATTTTCAGACAAATTGTATAGCCTACATGTATACAAGAGACAAAAAAAATGTGTTGAGAGTATAGAATGAGTACTTCCCCTATGCTCAGGTTGAATTGTCTACTGCATTACTGTAAATGTTTCATAAAAACATAACTCATTTAATGTCTTACCTTTAAATACTGGGGCTGAAAAAGTGATCATTTAATATATTTTGCTTCTCTCTCTTTCCAATTGTTCTGAGCATGCTATCCAGTATAATGATATGGCATATTACACTATTGTTTTACAATATTTTTCCAAAACAGTTTGCACTTCCAACATCCTCTCATTGATTTCTTTGTGGGTTGTCTTATCTTCCCTGACATCATTTTACCCACAATACAACCACCTTCTTGACAAAAACCAGAAGCAGAGAGGTGGCCAAAATTAGCATGGGACTGACTTGACAAATTTGTGAAAGGAATTGAAATGTCTTGAAAGCTTTTAATATTCCAACATTGGATATTATCCTTAAACAGCCCTTTCCAAATATATGACAATGGGATTTTTAATGAAAGAATGTTTCCCACGGACCTTCCAGACATACAGGGAGAGAATTAGCCATTCAGTCTCCAATTCAAACAAAACTTGATGAGCATGTAGCCATTAACACAAACAGTTCCTTGTCCAAATAATAGGCCAACACTCAAGCATTTCTGGACCTCCTCTAAACAGACAATTTTCAGAAACAAAATGGGCCTCTGAAAATTGACTGTTTAGCTTATAAGGCTTTGGAAATTTCATGTTTCCTGTCAGCAGTAATAGCCAAATGGGCACGACACCAAGCATTAGAGTGATACATAGGCTCAAACCTCAATTTTTTTTTTTTAAATTTATTTGTAACATAATTATTTTATTATTTTACTGTATCATTATAATTATTATTATTATTGTTATTATGTTTAAAGCTTATAAAACAAATTAAAGCAGATTACAAAAAGTTGGAATTAAAAATACATATACTGTGTTACAGTAGTGAATAAGCTTCAGAACATTATTGTGTATGGACAAAAAAGACAAGTCTGTTATGAAAATGGGCATGGCTTTTTTTGTTTTTTTTATTGTTAACATTATGGACCATTTCCTCATGTATTCATGTTTGTTATATTTCAAATATACCAATACCACCATATCTGAAAATAAATATGAAGAAATAAAACTCTTGTTTAATGACATGAAAGAGTTAAATCTGCAGATATGTGATTTTCACTAAACAGGAAATGACATCATGGTCTTTTGAATGCTTCTAATCAAAAATGGCACTAGTGTTTTCTATTCAAAATTAACATCTCTACAACCCTGCCAAATATTTACACACACTTCTCTTAGATCATACATTATAAACAAATGTACAGGATGTATTATCATATTAATGTCATTTTGAAGCATCCTTAAAGTCCAAGGCCCCAGTAAACACTGCATTCATTCATGGATTAAAATGGTCTTGCACACTTCTTGACACATCTTTACTTGTTAGTTTCTTGTTTTTCATCCACAGGCTTTTTCACTGGAAATCTACCAGCTGAAGCTCATTCACTCTTGTGGGTTACAGTAAATGCCAACAGTAACATTCAAGTCACATTTTCCTGTTGGTCATCAAGCAGTAAAACCAGCAGTGCCCAAAAACTATAAAAAGGGGATGTACGGTACACAAGCTATAAAAAAGACATCATAAATATGCAAGAAGCTTCAAATCCTAAGATTCAACATCAGATCAGCATTCCCACAAAGTGGTGCTGGTTGCACTCAGAGCTAACTTGACCTTGAAAACAAGGAATGTGGTTTTCATAAACTATGATGAGATTGCAAGGAATAATGGACAAATATAATTCTTTAGTTTCTATTATATTTGCAGAGTAGGCTAGAAGTCATAAATTTTCTGTTTTGTTGATATTGGGATTTGTGGTCCCTTGGGGATAGAAGAAAAAAGGCAATCCAGACAAAAAGAGGGAGCATTTGCTCCAAATGCCCCAATACACAGACATCCCTCTAAAAAACATATTATTAAGTTGTGTAGAAGTAAAAAATATGTAATGGAATCTGATTTCTGATTCATTCAGTATATTCTGCAAAAATATACTGAAGGAAATTCTTTGCATAGTGAGGAATCCAAGCAGTGCTTGAGAGATGCTGTAAAGCAGTGTTTCCCAAATTTTTTCAAGCCACCACTCGTTGGTATCATAAACTTATACCCAATGCCCCAATCCATTATCCCTTGTGTGAAAAAACCTTGGAAATATTGTTAGAAAAGCTTTTGTCCTTGCTGTACAGTACATTGTATTTAATGGTTTCCAGATGTGGAGAACAATGTTTTTTTTCTTACCTGTTTTAACAGAGGAAAGGGATTGTCAGTGACCAGAACCTTCACCTATGGTCATCATTTGGTCACGACCCTGCCTCCAGTGCCTCCTGCCCTTTGCTTCTTTTTGCCCTCTAGATTTACTCACTGCCCTCCAGGGATGGTAGTGCCCACTTTAGAAACCACTGCTATATATAATTTGATTAATACAGTGTAATAATAATATGAAAATAATCATTTGGAAAGAAAAAATTTGTTTAACTGTTGAATTCGCCTTACTTCCAATAATCCGGAAATCTCCTTAATCCAACACTGTTCTGGTCCCATATATTTTGGATTACTGAGATTGTACTGTACTGTATACATATTTTTTTTAATCAAAAGTAGTTTTAATAAAACAGTTTTTTAAATAAATATTAGATGATTTATTTATTCAATATATTTTTTCAAAATTTCCAAAAGCTTTAAAATATGATTGTATTTCATTTCAGTCACTGATATTTACTTTGTAGAAGACAAAAGAAGTTCTTGTTAAACAAAGATAACAGAAAGAACTGAGACTAAATACTCATGGATATTAAATGGTAGTGGTCATATGTTGTTATCTGTGCACTTTGCAGAATGCTGAAATAAAGCCAAACAATTGTCAAATTATCAGACTATAATGTTATACAATACTGAATGCTAAGTAAAGTTCAAAGAAACTTTTTCCTAAATTTGTCTATTAGAGTTCTCAGAAACATTAAAATTGAATTAACATTTAAAATTGGAAAGTTGCATTTCAACTCTATTTTAACTTCAGGTTTGAGAGAGGGGGTTCTATACTATAGTACAAAAATGTTGAAGCAAAATTGTTTAAGCATTAATGCTGCAGAAAGTTGATAAAGGCTCAAAAAAGAAAGACATTGTAGCAAAGTTTGGAATTCCTGTGAATAGTTATCAACCATAATAAAAAAAATCATAAATCAGTTTTGAAGTTAGCCAATGATGTAGATGAAACAGTTTTAATGTTCTTAATAAGAATGAAGGATATTACAAAGAGAACATTTTTTAATTGTTCTGTTCAACAAAAAAATTACAAATTTTTTAAATGAAAATGTAGTTAAACTAACTTGTAAGTTTATATTTCATTATTATTATAATTACCAAAAAGTGTTATTTCTGTATAACAATATTTCTCTGTAGCAAATTTTTTTCAGAATTTAGCAACCATGAATAAATAAAAGCTATTTGTATCATATATATGATACAAATAGCTTTTATTTATTTTATGTATATGTATATATATATAAAAATTGTAATGAGGATTGATTGTTATATATATGTTACTGGCCAAACCCAATTTCAGGCCAAACTAGTTTATCCTACGCATGTTATGATATACTGGTTTAGCCTAGGATAATCTAGTTTGGCCTAAATACTTTAGGCTTAACTAGTTAGACCTAGGCTGAACTGATTTATGTACTACAAATAGGTGTCAGTGTAAAAAAAATTTTGTGTAATTCGAAATGCCACCACAGTACACCCGGTTGTTAAAGTGTACCTAGGTAACCCCAATGGCAGTGCTTCGGTTAAGTTGGTTTGGTTAGGATAACTACATTTTTAGTAAGCGTTTCCTTTTTTTTTTCTTTTGTTCAAGAACTACTGTGAATCAATAACTAGTGACATTAAACAATGGGTGGCCTGCCAGAGGCTCCCCTCCGGGAGGAGTCTACCAGGAGCATGAACAGTCTGAAGTGCTGCCATTGGTGTTACCTAGGTACACTTTAACCCACCCTGTAAAAATAAATAAAAGATTAACTATTTTATATGTTACACTAAGAAACACAAACAAGTTCATTTTTAATTTTAGTTTGACTTTAAAAGTTATTTTGTTTGAATTTTTGAAAATATTTCTGAAAATTAATTACGTTCAAAAGTGCATGGCTTAATAAAAAAAAAATACAAACTGATAAGTACAGCAGAGTGTCGTTTATCCGAATCAATTGGGGACTGGGGTTGTTTGGATAAACGATTATGTACAAAAAAATATATTAACCTATCTCATGTTGAAATTTTTCTCCGTTGCCTGTCGCTTTGCGTTGAATTTTCGTCGATGTTAAGCCTAATGTAAAATTTTTAAAATAATAATCGTGACAATTGTATCATTAAAAGTTATTTCTTTATTTTTTACAAACAAAATATATATATTGAAAAAAAAAATTATACTTTAGAAGTTAATCTAGTATCAAAAATGTTCAATTCAGCATGACACACAGTCCTTGGGAAAAACACCACACAAAAGTGTGAGTGCTGCCAGCTAAAACACACACATCAACAAAAAAAATATTGGAGTAGCCCAAGATATAGCCAAAGATTGCAGCGCCACAGCACTAGCGAAAATTTAAATTTGCCGACTGGAATTCTTTCGGATAAACGACACTCTACTGTACTGATTAGCTTATTTTTATTTTATAGTTTTGTACAAGTGTTGTGTCACTGCTAATCAATACCGTTTTTTATAATTAAGTAGACTGTGTTTGAATAAGTATTGTTCATCTAATTGATTGCCTTTTAATTTTATTTTAACCATTAATATACTTAAATCAGATCTGGCCAACCCGCGGCCTGTCACATTAAATTGTGTGGCACGCTAAGCAACATTATATATCTATTAAAACTTTTCTTTCCCATTATGTGTATAGCAAAACAATTAAATAAATGAAAATTTGCAGGTGTCATTGTTATAATGCGCAAGTGCGAGTACGAACTCTTAGTATAACAATGAAATCTTATTCATTTTGTATTTGTTTTACTTTTTTAAAAGCATGTTTGCCCATTGTAATGTTACATGTGATCAAAGTGGTCTGCAAAAAAATTTGGGTCTGCCAGGCCTGACTTAAGTAATAATTCTAAATCATTTTGTCCAACTAGTTTGGCCTGAAATTGGGTTTGGCTGGTAACATATATATACAGTCAAATTTCTATGTAACAATCAATCCTCATTACAATTTTTATTAATAATACAGAATATATATTCTTTTTATGTTGTATTGTCTTAATTAAAATCTGTTTTATCATTATTTGCATTGTTTTATTTTGTAGAATGGATAAAGATGGAAATTTGACAATCACATTTGATGAATGGCGAGATTATCTTTTATTTCATCCTAGTTCTGAACTTCGTGATATTATTAAATACTGGAGGCATGCTACAGTAAGTTAAAAGTATAATTTATTCTAATGAATATTTTAAGATAAGTTTAATTATAAGATTTAGATTTTTATTAATGTCTGATTATCATGATGATGGTAATTTTTTGTTTTTTTAATAATAATTCTGTATTTTTAATTATCATTCACCAAGAAGAATTAAATTTAGATAGAAGTTATGCTTGCAAATTTGATTAGAAACAAACTTTTTTATATAAATTCAAACCAAGTTAAACATTTGAAATGCAGAGCATTCTACACTTTAATGACTTAATTTTATTTATATTAAGAATTAAAAATATTTTAAAACAAACATTTCTAAAAATTAAACACATTGAACATTATAATCTTTAATTTTTTTATTCTAAGGCTATCAATGCTTGCCACAATTGTGGCAAATTTAGTTTGTCTTTGTTATTAATTGCAAACTTTTTGCACCTTATAAATTTCAACAGCTTTGTCTGTTCTGAATTTTTTATACATTGTAAACTCTGTATTATTTTCATTTTCTCTCCCCATTTTGGGACACCCTGGGCTCACTTAGAAATTGGACCAATGCTGTTGCATACGCTTTTTGGAGTCATAAATTGAATGTAAAGTTGGACTGCAGGAAGACCAAAGTGAAGAGAAATATAAGCTATTTTATGAAGATTTTTTTTCTAAAATTACTTCTGAAGATGTAGAAGGAAAAAATTTGCATGATTATATAAAGATCAATAGATCACTGTAAAAAGAAAAATGTGAGTAGGCCTTAAATGATAAATTAGTAACAAATAAATGTGTTTAGAATATACATATAGGAAAAGTTTTGGACTTTTTTTAAAATTAAAATTTCTCTTTTAGAATGAGTAGGTTTTAAAAATTTAATTTTATTAAGAAATGAAAAAAGATTTATTTTATAAAAAATTATTTATAGATTTAAGTTATCCTTAGAAAGGGTCTTGGGAAAAAACCAATAAAAAAATAGTGTAATAAAAAATACAAAAAGAAAAAAATATATTTAATGTATAGTCTTCATCAAATGTGAGTATACTTATATACAATGTAGCAAAATCAAAATTTATATATATATATATAATACAAATA